CAGTCATTGACCATCTCTTATAGCACACTTGTAGGCTCTAACAATCTCCTGTAGAATGTTGGCAGTCAATGACCATCTTTTATAGCACACTTGTAGGCTCTAACAATCTCCTGCAGAATGTTGGCAGTCATTGACCATCTCTTATAGCATACTTGTAGGTTCAGACCATCTCCTGCAGAATGTCGACAGCTTATGACCATCTCTTATACCATGCTTGTAGGCTCTAACCATCTCCTGCAGCATGCCTGCAGTCTTTGACAACCTTCATCAGTATTCCATTCACTGAATATTATGTGCAGCCCATTGGTAATGTCTGGTGCTGCACTTAAGGCCATCTATATCAAATAAGTTGACCACCATTGTTCTAAATACTTATAAATTATCCTAAAGGCATGACATAGTAGCTGAAAAAGGGTCCTGCCCATAAAGGCTTATCATTTTAAAGATGGGGAAACAGATGCTGTATTGGTTGGACACTTGCTGGATCTTTATATAACATTTCTTTACAGTTATTTAAAGCTAAGTGTTTCCAGTTTGGCAGTCCGGATCTGACTGGATACAATAAATGTAGAGTAGAATTGGAAATCAAGAATAACATTTTGTAACCATGTTAAAGTTCGTTTTATCTTCTTATTCAGCAACAAGCCTTCATACTTCCTCCTTTCATTGTGATGTCAGCTGAACTAGATGTATACATCAACCAGGAAGTAACCATAACTTCCTTAGAAAAATTTCCCTTTATCAAAAACTCAAGCCTAGAGCAAACAGTAATAGCTATAAATACTGAATAGGGCAGCAGAAATAACAATTAATTGATCAGAGATAGAGCAACATGTAAAATGGAGCACCTCAAAACCACTAATCCACCTTCATGTAATCATGTTCTGACCACCGGTAATGAAAAGATTAATGGGGCTGGCCCTTTTTATGACCCTAATGTCTCGATGGCATTAAATATTTATAATGATACCTGTTCAAAAAATACACTAACAATCTGGACATGCTCCATACATCTCGCCTGCATGAGATGAGAAAGAGGGACACAAAGTGTGTGACAAATGCAATAATATAAAGGCTGGAAGAAAGCTTTAGTATCTATCTATTCAGAATTCAGCACCCTTCCACTAGGATAGGGAAGGCCATGTTAAAAACCATTCACCAATGAACTGAATACAAGATGGTGGGACACAATAATACACAGAACAAGCCTCTAGTGTCAATCTAGTAACCCTAGGTATACCACACACTCGTACAGGTGAACATTCTTTCATAATTAATTGATGAATGACTTTCAATCGTTTCTATTTTCTGGTTTCTCGTTCTGCTAATGTCTCATATATGTTATGTTACGCAGTGTAACATAAAGTTCGATTAAAGCGGACCCTTACCCCCTTTCACTAAAAATCACATCATAATACAGCTCTGCATGTTGATTTTAAATCATCTTACACTCATTAAGTAACAAACTTGTTTTTCATTTACTTACAAATAGAGTTCATCTACTTCCTGGTCCACTTCTGGCACAAATGATGTAGTCTTGATTTAATAAGCATTGCATCCTAGGAAGGTTACATCAGCAGAGCAATGCTGGGAAATCTCATCTGTAATCTAATGAGATCTCAGGGAAAGGCATTTTCCTCCCCTGAGATGATGTGCATGGTCACATGTCCTAGTCACTGTGCCAAAAGTCCAGGAAGTAAAGGGAGATCTAGTAACCCTTAGTTAATATGGCCACTGTGAGAAGACTGGGGAAGAAAAGAGAAATAAGGTATACAAAGAATACAAAGCCTCCAATTATCTAGAAGTATGTGTTTGTAGATTGTTATTACTAAACATTTCTAAGGGTGTGTTTGTTGCTATTTTAAACAGAAGGGCAAAGTGCCCCATTAGGGTTCCATACATATAGAACAATGGTTACCAGCAATGATGCATTATGACCTAAACAACCCATTCAGATGATATCCAGTCCTTCACATTACCTAGCTATTGGTAAGCATGTTGACCTATTAGATAGTATCGGTCACATATTCTGAGGCCCCATAGAGAATGAACCACTTCTCTTGGTGCTCCCATTATCTTCAAAGTGTCCAGGAAGCCCCCCAAACTATTGTCAGGATTGATGTTCAGCCCACCTTTCGTATTGACCACCAAATGCAATGGGTGGCCTCACTGACCAACAGGGTGGGCCAAATATTGTCCATGGACAATGTATGCAAGGTAGAGTACCACAGGTCTGGGCACTCTGACGATAAAGCGAACATGTAAGCAGCCACCTATAGTATGGAGCTGGCGACACCATACTCTGTAAGATACATAAGGTGACAATGAATATAAACATGTCACAGTTTTACCTATACAGCTCTGATGTCAGAATTTAGTCGGCCCCTCCTTTGTAATAATTCACTA